TTTTGGGCCAGCTTTAGCTCTGAGGCCTCGCTGCTGAAAAGATGGATACAATGTTTCGGTCCGGCTGGGTTTCAGTCCGGCTGTTTTCTGGGGTTTTGTTTACCTTCTTATTTGCAACATAGTATATAGTTGCTTAGAGTTGCAACTGAGAGGCTGGCAAGTGAGGCGGGGAACGTTGGAGTCTGCAGCAAGCAAGCCTCGTGCTCGCTTCAGTGCCTGGCTGCCGGCCGCCATCTTGGCTGACAGTTAATTTGCATATACTCACTGATTAGCCAATGAAAAGGGTAGCGGTCGTACGCCAATTACCATGTTTCTCTTTTATTAGTGTAGATAGATGGATTATAGTGTATTGGAAGCCTTCCACACAAAAAGTTATACATTCTTACTAGAATTCCATATTTATTTAGATATCAATGCCATAAATATTGGTATTGATATCTATTTCAATGAAGAGGCAACTGACATTTTGCTATGCCCTGTTGTACTGAGATACATATTTTGATCACTTTAAAATACCTCTGTGCTGCAAAAAAGAAAGGATGTTTCTTATTCCTTTTGCATTTAAACACAAAACAAAGATATGAGGAAATGTATCAATAATGCATACCAAGGCTTTATCCATAATGATTTGTATTTTCAGAGTTCTTTTCAATAGTACAGCATCTGACTTTTTCTGTGAAACAGAGGACATGAGATAAATAAAACATTTTTTAAATTCTTATGTGGTTTGTAATTATGTACATTAGATATGTACACACAGAGAGGTATAAATAAATAAATATTGATACATAAAGATACAGATAACAGGAAAATAAAAGGACAGGTGCCAACTAAGTAAATAAGCAGGTGATATTCCAAACAAATATTTTAAGAACCAATCAGAAGCTTTTACTTTATATTTTTGATAATTAGAATCTTTTAAAAAAATTGTTGCTACAGTGAGGGAGAAGCCATATTTCCTTTCTCTCAAAAACCTCTTCTAGGATTCTGCTCCAACCTTCAAGCTAACAAACTCCCATCAACTTTCCCCCAAACATTGCCTCTATTTTAGCATCATTTTTATATTTTTAATTTTTATATTAACTTTATTGGGGTTTACACACAATAAAGTGCATCCATTTTAAGTATACAGGTTTATGTGTTGGTGTTAATATATACAGCCATGTAACCATTTCCATAAGTAAGACAAAGAATGTTGTCATTACCCTCTTCCAAGTCAATAGCCACACAGCTCAAGGAAACCAATGATATGCTGTTTTTCAATATAGGTTACAATGATCTATTCTAGAATTTCATATTAATGGAATCATATGGAATGTACTCATTTCTATCTGGTTTCTTTCATTAAGCATTCATCCCTGTTGTGATTATTAATAATTCATTAGTTTTTTTCTAAGTAGTTTGCCATTGAAGATATACATTGCAACATGTTTATACATTTACCTGTTGATCATTTGACTGATGTAGGCATTTTCGCTTTTATAGATAAAGCTGCTATAAATATTAATGTACAGGTCTTTGTGCAATTTTTTTCTTTCATTTTTCTTGGTATTTAGAAATGGAATACCTGAGTCGTATAGTAATTGTGGGTCTACAAAGTGGTATGAAAGTGCCAGATTGTTTGCTAAAGTCATTTCATCATTCTGCATTTCCACCAAGAATTAAGTACCAGTTTTTCCACATTCTTGCCTACATTTGGTCATGGTATAATTCTAGAACTGTTGAAAGATAGGTTGTACATAAAGTACTTAAAAGAACATGTGGCACCTATGAGTCAGTGTGTGAATATAAAATAATATCGACATTGGCTTTAATTCACTTTAAATTTTGTTTTTCCTATATTGTTTATATTTGTATTCATTCATATGAACCACGTTTATTTCTTTCTGGTTATTGTTTAATACATGGAGTTCCTTCAACCAAACTTTTCTTTTTTTAATCCTTACTCGAGAATATTTTTTCATTGATTTTAGAGAGAGTGGAAGAGAGAGGGAAAGACAGGGAGAAACATCAATGTGAGAGAAACACATCAATTGGTTGTCTCCTGCATGTGCCCTGACCAGGACCCAGGCTGGGGAGGAGCCTGCAACCTAGGTATGTGCCCTTGACAAGAATTGAACCTGGGACTCTTCGGTCCACAGGCCTACACTCTATCAACTTAGCCAAACTGGCTAGGGCAAGTCAAACTTTTATGTATATACACATATATGCTAGTGGCCCGGTGCACAAAATTCATGCATGGAGTGGGGATGGTCCCCTCAGCCCAGCCTGCACCCTCTCCAATCCAGGACTCCTGAGGATCAGGCCTAAACCAGCAGTCGGACAACCCTCTTACAATCTGGGACCGCTGGCTCATAACCGCTCACCTGCCTGCCAGCCTGATCACCCCTAACTACCTCTGCCTGCCGGTCTGACTGCCCCTACTGCCCCCTCTGCCAGCCTTATTGCCCCTAACTGCTCCCCCTGACAGCCTGATCATCCCTACCTGCCTCTGACTGCCGGTCTGATCACCCCCAACTACCCCCCATCACTGGCCTGGTTGACCCCAACTGCCCCACCTGCCAGCCTGGTCGCCCCATGCAGCCTGCTGCTCGGTCATTTGGTCGCCCCTCACTAAACCCCCTGCCAGGCCAGGTCACCCCACGCAGCCTGTTTGGTCATCCGTTCAGTTGCGATGGTCATTTAGGCTTTTATATAGATAAATTATTTCAGAGAAAGGGAGATAGAATCATCAATGATTAGAGAGTATCATTGAGAGTATCATTGATCTGCTGCCTTCTGCATGACCCCTCCTGGGGATTGAGCCTGCAACCCTGGCATGTGCCCTGACCAGGAATCAAACCCTTACCTCCTGGTTCATGGGTCAATGCTCAACCATTGAACACCACTTGCTAGGCAATCAAACATTTCTTGAGCAAAGGGAGGAGATTAATGACATATTATACTTTGGGTTATAGTATAAGAAATGGCCAATTATCCACAAATGATATTTGCTCCCTCTCCAAGAGAAGAGATCAATGAGAAGCAGCTGTCCTAGCTCATTTGTATAATGTGGAGACATTCTATTTTCACTTTACTTCTGACTAGATTCATGTAGTCTAGTGGGGGACCCTTAGGAACCTTGAGTCAAAGCCAGGAAAGGAATCAACCAGAATTTCATCCACCTTGGTCTCTGCACGAGCAAGACATGAGCCTTATGCTACACCACTGAGAGTTGGACATTGTTTGCTTAAAAATTTAGTGGTATTTGACCTAACAAAGATTTTCATGAACAATACAGTGTGTGAGGGTAGGTACTTAGTTGTTCTTCCTTTTCACTTGGTTAAAAGTTCACTGTATTTAGCAATTATTCTTTGTAAAATCTCATTTTGAGATAAGAATATTTATGTTTATCAGTGGTTTGTTTTACACATTAGGAAGGACATTCCACAATAGGGAGGAAAGAATAGTTACAATAAAAAAATTATAATTATGTAGTTCTGGCTGGGTACAGAATTATAGACTGTAAATTACTTTGCTTCATTTTTTTAAAAAAATTATCCTTATTGTTGAAAGTATTACAGATGTCCCCTTATTTCCCCATTGACTTCTTCTAGCCCACACCCACTGTCCACCTCAGGCCTTCACCACACTATTGTCTGTGTCCATGGGTTATACATATATGCATATAAATTCTTTGGTTAATCTCTTCCCACCCCCACCTTTCCTCTGAGATTCTACAATCTATTCCATGTGTCTACGGCTCTGGATCTATTTTGTTCATCAGTTTATTTTGTTCTTTAGGTTCCACATATGAGTGAGATCATGTGATACCTGTTATTGTTGTCTGACTGGCTTATTTTGCTTAGCATAATACTCTTAAGGTCCCTCCATGCTGTCTCAAAGGGTAAGAAATCCTTCTTTTTTACTGCTGCATAGTGTTCCATGGTGTAAATGAACCACAGCTTTTGATCCACTCATCTACTGATGGGCACTTAGACTGTTTCCAGATCTTGGTTATTGTAAATTATGCTGCTATGAACATAGTGGTGCATACATTCTTTCTGATTGGTGTTTTGGGTTTCTTAGGATATATTCCTCAAAGTGGGATCACTGGGTTGGGTGGGTATTGCCTTTTAGCCTCCAATATGGCTGCTATGAAATTCATGCCATTCAGTATCTTATTAATGTATTAGAAAACAGATTCTTTATATCAGTAAAGAAACTCAAATAATTCTGAATATTTTTCTTAGATTATTTTCTGATTTATTCAACTCAAATTTTCTCCAATATGATTGGAACTCCTACTGTAGCACCCAAATTTATATTTTAATTTAATTTCTTATCTGCCAAATTTCCAGATCATTTACTTATCTTTATACTTTGCTTTTTGTGTTCTAACTGGAATTTTATCTTATGAACTTTAGGTTGACTGTACATTTTTATTATTATGCTTTTAATTTCTAAGAACTGTTATCTGCTGAATGTCATTTTTTACTCTGTTCTTTATTTTGTAGATGAAATATTTTATCTTACCTCTCTAAAGTCTAAGGACCTTTTCTATTTTATTACTCTGTAATTTTTATTATTCTCTGTATTTTATTATTCTCTGTATTATTCTGATGTATTTTTGGTGTCTCAACTTTTAATTTTTTATTTTTTTCATGTCTCTATTATTCATATTAAATTCTTCCATCATATGTCTGCTGCCCCTTCATATTAGGAATTGAGCATGTAACAGCTTATTCCAACATCTGTGACCACATATGGTGTTTAAGAGCTGTTGTCTTCATAGAGGATGATTTGTCTCGGTTGTAGTTTGGAAAAACCCTGCTTTCAATATGGTCAATTTTGATTCTTTTGGCTGATGTGATTCACTACTGGAAAGGGATCTTCAATACATTCCAGGAATGTTTAAGCCTGGTTCCCAATATCAAGGACTCTAATTTTAACTTAGTCACACTACTTTCAAATTAGTATTTCTCCTCTATTGTGACATACAATAGCACATTTGTGCCTGGTGTCCCAAAAGAAACAGCCTTCAATTATCTATCAGTCTACCACAGAGACAATTGATTAGGGGAAGATCACAGGATTTCTAAATACTTATTTTCAACCAAGTCTCTTCATTGGTCTGACTTTAAAGTCACTTCCTAAGGAATCTGGATATGTTATAGAAATGTTTGTGTAGAACTGCAGTATATATCAAGTTTTCTATAGCTTATCCGAATTGCCAGTTTAAGATTTAGCTTTTTGGAGCCTAAATCAGTTAGCTACCTCTGTTCTTCAACTTCCCATGTTATTACTACTCTTCTGTGCTGTTTGTGCTTATACGTATATGCCATTAAAAAAAATAACCATTTTATTGGGCTCTAAGGAAAGGGCTTGGGTGAATACATGTGTCTAACATGCTTTTAACAGATAATCCCTTTCTTGCATCTTGTTTGATTTCTATTCCATTTTTCAGTTGTTGTTATAATGAAAGTGATCACCTTGCTATAAATTTGTGTTCACTTTCATAAATGTAAAATGTGCCTAAAATATGGCTTTTATATTATTTTTGTTTCTGTTAAAAAATCTGTTATATTGAAAATGTTCACTTTATATGTGCTACTTATAGCACTCGTGCATGTGAAAATATGCTTAATTAAACCTATAGATTTAAGCCTATCAAATTCAGAATGAAAAGCAACTATCGAGTTCCCCAGTGAAAGAACAAAATTCAAAAACACATGTCAGCACCTACATATCCCCATTCCTGCAGTGATAACCCTGGTTTCTTCTAGGTTCTGAAATTTTTGTCTGTATTTTATTTTATGATTGCACTTCGTTTTATATCTGAAACTTTCTAATTACTTCCAATTACCCTGTTCCAGTACATTAGAAAATATGGTAAATATTAACAGTAGCAGGAGCAATATTTTAAGTCTATTCATCTATATATATAAAAGCCAAAGTGACTGTCACAACCAAAACAACTGAACAGATGACCAAACAGGCTGCGTGGGGCGACCAGGCCGGGAGGGGGGCTAGTGAGGGATGACCAAACAACTGAGCAGCAGGCTGCGTGGGGCAACAAGGCCAAGCAGTTAGGGGTGATGAGGAGGCAGGCAGGTGAGCAGTTAGGAGCTAATGGTCCCGGATTGTGAGAGGGATGTCTGACTGACTGCTGGTTTAGGCCCGAAACCTGTGGGATCAGGCCTAAATCTGCAGTTGGACATCCCCCAAGAGCTCCCGGATTGGAGAGGGTACAAGTGTAACAGAGTATACATCAAAATAAATGCAGTGGATTGCACAACAAATTTTACCTCTAGGCAATAGCATAGTACATTCTTTCCTATTTATACATACCAGCATATTTAATATTTTAATCATTATTAACCAATATTATTTCATTTAAAATAATACATGTAAAATAATTTAATAAGTGGGAAAATGCATTGTCCCCTTAAGAGCAAAAAAAATTTTCTTTTAAAAGCAAGAAGAAACATATATGGTTAAATCATTTTTTATTTAAAATAATCTATACATTTATAAATCTACGTTTGTAAGTAGATATAGTCAAAGAATTGGACCAAAAATTTCAAAATTTTAAGATCATTATCTCTAGAAAATGATATGGAAAAGCATCTTGACTTTTTTCTACTTTTACATTTTCTATCAAAATAATACTATTTTACAAAGAAAAATATGTATTGGCAAGGAAAATATTGACAAAATTATAATTAGCAAATCTGAGTATCATTATGTTAGTAGGATGCAAATTCAGTAAAAATCATGCATAAAAATATTTGCAATTAGGGAAATATAAGGATGTTCATGTTTGCAGTATGTGAGTTAATCTATTGCATTTCTAATTTTTATATGAATAAACATATTCCTATTAATATGTTAATAAATATTCATATAACATTAAAAATAAATATTTTACATGAGGTTTTAATATAATTAATATCAATTTAAATTTGTTCTCCAAGTATAACAAATTTCAATGTGAATATGTTTATCAAAAGTAGCAAAAATGAAGATTCCAAAAAATGTTTGCTCACTTCTGACTTCCCCAGAATCCTGTACGCCTCATCTCCCAAATGGATCATAGGATAATTGTCTTGTAAGGGGAGAAAATCAGCTTTATTCTTTATTTGATAAAGCATATGCTCATACTTAGCTGAGGATTCCAATGGTTCAATTCCATAACTGATATTCTCGAACTGCAATAATCCCCTGACATAAAAAAGTATAATAGTAATTAATATAGATTTCCCACTGAGAAATGCATATCAATACTAAATAAAAACATTTTATAGAAATTTGACAGTGATCTTTATGGTCTAATTTAGTCAAATAATCATCCCATTTTACTCAAATTCACTTTCAACCCAATTTATATATCCTGTCTATTATGGCTTTTAAAAGTCACTGAGTTCTAGTATGGCTAATAAATATGAGTATTCTTTATACTAGTAGATTTTTCCTGAATAAATTTTATGACTATAAGCCTAGGATAGAGACAACAAAATATAAAAAAATATAAGAGGAGGATGAGGAAAAGAAACTATATGTGAAGAAACATAATCAAAGCCTATATTTTCTTTGCTTTCACTCTATCACTCAAGGAATTTGGAAAAATTAAAGTGTTATACAAGATGGTCAATCATGCACATCTCTGGAATTTGCCATTACCTGAGTCCAGAACAGGTGCTAAGTGTCACCACTGAAAATGGAATCTCTGCAGCATATCCTTGATAAAAGCAATGCCCCTAAACAGGAGTACATAAAGGTACATTGATTTGTAAATAAAATTTGGTGGAGAGTTTTATTCCCTTATTGTTTTTTAATCCTCACATGAGGATATTTTTCCATTTATTTTTAGAGAGATTCGAAGGGAGAGGGAGAGAGAAAGAGAGAGAAGCATCTATGTGAGAGAGAAACATTAATTGGTTGCCTCCCACATGTGCCCTGACCAGGACCAGAGATCAAGCCTGAAACCTAGGTAGGTGCCCTTAACCGGAATCAAACCTGGGATCCTTCAGTCTGCTAGTCGATGCTCTTTCCACTGAGCAAAACCGGGCTAGGGCTAAAGTTTTGGGTTTTAAACTTACTTCCTAGATCAGGGGTCCTCAAACTTTTTAAACAGGGGGCCAGTTCACTGTCCCTCAGACCGTTGGAGGGCCGGACTATAGTTTAAAAAAAAAAACTATGAACAAATTCCTATGCACACAGCAGTGGCAAAAACACCCGGCGGGCCGGATAAATGTTTTTGGCGGGCCGCATGTGGCCCGCGGGCCATAGTTTGAGGACCCCTGTCCTAGATAATATAAAATGTGCAGACTTCTGAATTAACCAATGTTATTCACCAGATATCCCATTTCCTTTTGGTCTACCTGCAGTTTCTTCTTCTTAACACTCTTCTGCCTATTTTTGCTATAATTCCAAATTCTATAATTTTGACAGAACCTTTTAGAATCGAAACATGTATAAAGAGCTTCCCAGACTAGAAAAACCTAAAGGAGTTTGCCACCACCAAACCAGTATTACATGAAATGTATACTTTAATATAATACTTTTTCTTTAAGAATAATAATAAGAAAAAAAGATAAAAATATGAATATTAATATGGCAATAAATACATATCTATCAACCATCAAATCTAAAAAATAAAATAAATGAAACAAGCAGAAGAGAAACAGAAAAAAAAGAATAAATCCTAATGCAATCTGTAAGATTTAATTAATAGTAATATATCAGTATTGGCTCATAAATTGTAACCCAAAAAGCATACTAATACAAGATGTTAGTAATAGGGTAACTAAGAAGTTGGGGTGTGCCGGGAAGCTTTCTCTACTTTCTATTTTATCTTACGTAAAGCTAAATATGCTGAAAAGAAATAAGGTCTATTAACTTTTTAAAAGATATTATTGAGGAAATAAAAAGACAAGCAATGGATTAGATGAAATGACTCACAAAACATATATTTTATTTCATTTATTTATTTTTTAATTTAAATTTTATTTTTCAATTACAGTTTACATTATTATTATTTTGTATTAATATCTGTACAGCATAGTAGTTATACTTTACAATGTGGAGATTCCTCATAAAGTTAAATGTAAAATAAACATAATGATCCAAAGATTTCATTGCTAAGCATGTACCCAAGAAATAAAGCATGTTTTCCAATAAGAATGCGAACACAAATACTTATAACAAAACCAGTCTAAATAAGTAAAAATATAAATAAATACATCCTTGACAGAAGCTTTCTTATCTTTCCTATCTCAGCTGCATTTCTTATATGCATGGTCTGTAACTGCTAATTTCATGTAATTGACAACATTCATTTGACTTCTAAATTAACCAAAAGTACATTAATTGACATTTCCTCAAATTTTTGTCATTAATTTTTCACCTTATTGATAATCCTTAGTTCAAACTCTCATCCCCAAGGACTTTCATAGCAACAGACTTCTCAGGTTCTCCCCCAATATTCTCTTTCGGTAAATACTCCCTTCTCTTCCCTTAAAAGTCTAGTGATGTCTAGAATCAGTCCTATTCCTTTGTTAATCCTGTGCTATTAAATATTTAGAAGCATCCCATTCTCTTCTATGTATTTGCTTATGCATTTTAAGTTCCCATTCATACATCTCCATCAGTAACCATTTGATTTTTGCAAAACTAAGCTGAACCACTATCCCCCACCCACTGCCAGCAGCTGAACACACCCTGCTCCATGCCAAGCAACAGCTGCAGCTACCTCCACCAGCACTGGTGCCAGCAGCCACTGTAGCTACAAGCCCTTCATAAAGTATAAGGTTTCCCAAACTCTACACAGCAGCAGGGGGCAATTCAGACTCTCAGCTCCTGGCCCTGCACCCAGTTAGAGAAAATGATCCTCGTGAGAGATTTCCCACTTAGGATCTTCCTTAACCAGGAGACACTATCAAAGTTAACGCAGAAACAACTGGCATCCTGTGGCTGGAGAACAGTCAGAGGAAATGCTCTCCCTCCCATGGGTTCTTCACCATCCAACCCCACCTGGCAATACAGGTTGTCACAGCAAAGTGCCTTTTACCCCTAAAGGCTGCACAGGCAGAGCTCCAGCAGGAGCTCCAGCAGAGCACAACAATATAACATCAAAGGACCTAAGAAAGCCAAATTGTCACTGGAAAAATAGAACACACTATAAATCTACACTTAACCTGGGTGACTGCTTTCAAATTAAGATTATTTAAACTTGCAGAAAGCAACGAAAGGACTTGTATGCATGCATATTAGCATAACCAATGGATACAGACACTGAGGCAGTGGGAGTTTGCTGT